GTATATATAGTATTACTCAGCTATAAAAAAGAATGAAATTTTGACATTTGCAATAACATGGATGGTTAGAGATGGCTAGACAGTATTATACATAAATTAGTCAGAGAAAGACAACATATGATCTCACTCATGTGGAATTTAAGAAAAAAACAAAAGAGCAAAGGGGAAAAAATGAGAGAGAGAGGCAAACCAAGAAACAGATTCTTAACTATAGAGAACTGATGGTTGCCAAAGCAGAGGTGGGTGGAGGTAATAGGTTGGGTGGGTTAGGGGGATTGGGGAGTGCACTTGTTGTGATGAGCACTGGGTATTGCGCGGAGGTGCTGAATTACTATTTTGTACACCTGAAACTGATACTGTACATTAACTGGAATTCACATAAAAGCTTAAAAAATAAAATAAAATTGGGCAGAGGAGCTGAACAGATATTTTTCCAAAGAAGGCATACAAATGGCCAACAGATACATGAAAAGGTGTAAACCTCTAGCTCTGTATATCAAAATGGACAACAAAGTAAAAAGGGAAACTACAGAATGGGAGAAAATATTTTCAAACCATTTATCTGATAAGGGATTAAAATCCAAAATATATAAAAAACGCATACAATTCAATAACAAAGAAACAAACAAGTTAACACCCCCAAAATGAACAATCCAATTAAACAATGGGCATGCAAACCTCTAGCTCTATGAAAACCATGAGCTATCACCTGACACTTGTTAGAATGGTCATTATCAAAAGACAAGAGGTAAATGTTGGTGAGTATACAGAGGTAAGGTAACGCTTGTGCACTACTCGCTGGTGGGAATGTAAACTGATATAGCCACTATGGAAAACAGTAAGATTCTTCAAAAACTTAAAGGGTTACGGGGTGGGGGGGGGGCAACTGGGTGACAGGCACTGTGGAGGGCACTTGTGGGATGAGCACTGGGTGTTATACTTTATGATGGCAAATGGAATTTAAATTTTTTAAAATGTAAAAAAACAAAAAAAAAAAAAAAAACACTTAAAAATAGAACTACCGTATGAGCCAGAAATCTCATTTGTGGGTATATATTCAAAGGAAATGAAAACAGGACATCGAAGAGAGATTTACACTCCCATGTCATTATTCACAACAGCCAAGATATGGAAACAACTTAAGTGTCCGTCTATTATATTATTCAGCCATTACAAAGAAGGAAATCCTGTCATTTGCAACAACACAGATGTATCTTAATGTATCTAAGCTAGTTGAAAAAGAGAAAGACAAAAACTGTATGATATATATGTGGAATCTAAAACAGCCAAACTCATGGAAACAGAGAATAGAAGGGTAATTATCAGGAATTGGAGGATGAGAGAAATGGGGAGATTGTGGTCAAAGGGTGCAAACTCCCAACTAGAAGATGAGTATGTTCTGGGGATCTAAGTACAACATTGTAATGATAGCTAACAATGATATACACCATACACTTGAGAGTTGTTTAAAAAGATCTTAAACTACAAAAAGTTTTCACCACAAAAAGTAAAGGTAATTATGTGACAGGGCAGAGGTATTAACTAATGTTATGGTAGTAATGACTTTGCAATATATGTGTATCAAATCAACATGCTTCAAAACAACTTACACAATGTTTTATGTCAATTATATCTCAAAAAAGCTAGAAAAAATCCTTTTTTCAAGAAAGGAAAGATAAAGGAAGGAAGGGAGAGAGGCAAACAGGAAACAAGGGTTCTTGGGAGAAATGGCTGATTGGGAGTGGGGCCTGGGGCAGGGTACAGAAGCCAACATGGAAAGTGCTTTCAGTAGCTAAAACTCGAATCATTTGAGTACTATTAGATTATAATACAAAGAATGAAATAAATTTTCCTGAATCCATACTGATGTACATGAATAACTAAAGGAATAATTAAATGGGGGAGGAGTAATAGCTCTTGCTTACAGAAAAATTCCACTTTATAATAGACATGAAAGAAATATAAAAACTCCATTAGAATACCAGAGTAATAATTGCTACAGGCAAGATCCAGTGATGAATGATAAAATTAATGATGAAAGTTTAAGCAGAAACAGGATGTTTACATAGTCTACCAGTTTCTCTCTCGAATATCTAGTATTTACATAGGAAAAACAGTAACTGTACAGTGCAATATCTTAGTAGACACCACTGCAGTCAAGTAATCAAGGTTAACATCACCAGTAATGCCTATCAACTTAATGTGCTCCCTAATGAAATGCACTGAAAATGCATAACCTCAATATACTCCTGAGACATCAGGCAAAACTAAATAAAAACTTTCTCCAAAGTAACTTTTCAAAGTGTCAAGGTCATAAAAAACAAGGATGGCCACAGATCGAAGGAAATAAAGTAGACACGACAATTAAAACGCAAGGTGGTATCTTGGGTTGGATCTGAAGTAAAAAAGGTTCATTTCTGGAAAGAATCAGGTGAAATCCAAATCAGTCTATATTTTAGTTATAATTTTATATGAAGGATAATCTCTTAGTTTTTGGTAAATGTTTTACAGTTAAGATGTTAATTAACATAGAGGAAGCTTTGGTAAAGGACATATTGGCAATCTCTAAGATATTTTTCCCAATGATCTCTGATTCCTGGTATTCACTCCCCTGTATGATCCCCTAACCCTTAAGTGTGGGCTGGAAATAGTGATTCATTTCCATTGAAGACAAAGGTGCAGAAGTAGTGAGGTTCACTTAGAAAGTGATGTTACAAAGACTATGACATTTCTCTTGGGCATCCTTCCTTCTTCTCTCATGCTCACTTATAGGGGCATTTAGTTGCATATTTAAGCTGCCTTATGGAAGGAAGGGAATGATGTCTTTGGCCAATAGCCATGTGAACAAGCTTGGAAGCACATCCTTTTAATCAAGCCTTGAGATGGGACTACAGCTACAGGTAATAACCTTGTCTGCAACCTTGAAAGAGATCCTGAGCTGAAATGAAAGCACTTGGCTAAGCCTCACCTAGATTTCTGACTCACAAAACCCATATTAACATTGTGATAATATTTATTAAGCTACTACATTTCAGAGTAATATGTTACACAGCAATAAATAGTTAATACAGGAAGTCTTCCTACTATTTTTGTAGCACCTCTGTAAATATAAAATAATTTCAAAACAAAAGTTTAAAAATACTTAATACATATTTACGTATTTTATTCACATATATACATAAACACATGTACACAGATTAGTGTATATATGTATATTGTATAGTTTGAACTACTATATTTTTTTAAAGATTTTATTTTTTTGAGAGACAATGAGAGAAAGCATCAGTGGGGGAGGATCAAAGGGAGAAGCAGACTCCCCACTAAGGGGGGAACCCAATGTGGAGCTCGATCCTAGGACTCCAGGATCATGACCTGAGCCAAAGGCAGATGCTTAACTGACTGTGCCACCCAGGCACCATCTGAATTACTATGGACTCTGGAGTTGGACAAACCTAGATTCAAATGCCACCTCTAACATTTAATAATAGCCATGCAATGTTGGGCAAAACATCTAATTTTAAAATATTAGGATTAGGATTTTAAAATGATTATATTAAGTATAAAATGATATCTGCATCTACTATAACAGATGGCATTTAGTACATTCTAGACAAACGGCATTATTATTAGTTCACATTTATAGTCATCTATTATTTTCTTCTAATTCAGGGAATTCAACTCTAATTCAGTATTAAAATGGTGAAAGTAGAGACTGACCCTGTTTTTTAGGCCCATATTCTAAATCACTAACTTTAAGAACTATAAGGGCCTTTCAGCTTTTTAAGCCTTTTCCTTCCATCATCATCTGCATACAGGCACCAAAGATATTAAATGACCTATCCAAGAGGAGAGCTGACAGAGGACCTGAAAGCAGGGTTCAAGATTCAGGGAGACATTACCATGTGGTAAACAAGCTCTTGCTTTAAACAGACTGAACTAGACTGCCCATTCTGTTGCTTACAAACAGTATTATGTTATGACTGGCTCAGGTCGTTGAGCATATGACTCTTGTTTTAGCTCAGGTTGTGATCTTAGGGTTGTGAGACTGAGCCCCCATCAGGCTCCATGCTCAGCAGGGAATCTGCTTAAGATTCTCTTTCTCTCTCTCTCTCTCTCCCTCTGCCCCTCCCTACCTTTAATAAGATAAATAAATAAATCTTAAAAAAACAAAACAGAACAAAACAAACACAGCATAGCATCATGTGAGGCAATACTGTCTGCTGGCAAAAGAAGCAGTATCAGAGTCTCAGTTTCCCAGAGGTAGACAGGAATACCATGACCTACCTCATAGGGTTATCATGAGCATTAAATGAGATAACATGTATAAGTCCCTCATTGCCATGACTACCACATGTGAATACTGAATAAACATTTTTCCCTTCTCTCTTTCCAAGCCCAGGGCTCTTCACTATGATGTGATGCCTTCTCAAGTAGAAGGTGGAACATGAAACAGAGAGGGTAATTCTGTTTATCTGTATTTTAAAGGATTCAAAATGTAAAGCTGAATTTCTGACAGTCTTAAAATTAGGCTGAATAATATAGCTCTAATGTATTTAGTTCCGACCTAGGCTTCCTTTCCTAGAACACACTGCAAAGTGGGGCATCACATCAGACAGCGCATTATATTGATAGCATTACCAATGATATTAGCCTTGATAACTTGGCTAAAGTGATACCTGCCAAGATGCTCTGTTGGAAAGTTACCTTTCTTTCACTGTAAATACTAAATATTTGAATCATGAAATGGAAACTAAGAGAGACGGGAGAGAGGAAGCATGCACAAATAAGCAAGAGAGTGAGCATATATGCACACATCCCAAAGCCTGGTCTTCAGCATATTTCCAATACAATAAATAATCAGTAAATTGTACCACGGGATGATCAAAGACTCTTCCCAAAGTAATTTGATGTTCTGAAATAATTAATGCCAAGTCTTGTCAAAAGCCTTTTAAAATGATAAATAAGGGGATCCCTGGGTGGCTCAGTGGTTTTGCGCCTGCCTTTGGCCCAGGGCGCGATCCTGGAGTCCCGGGATCAAGTCCCACGTCGGGTTCCTGGCATGGAGTCTGCTTCTCCCTCTGCCTGTGTCTCTGCCCCCCCAATAAATAAATAAATAAATAAATAAATAAATAAATAAATAAATCTATCTTTAAAAATAAATAAATAAAATGATAAATCAAAAAAAAGATATATTACTTTCAGATGTTCTCTCTTATTTAGGAATTTATGCCTTAAAAGACTTCTAGAAGACTAGTCAGATACATCCTCCCCTAAGAAAAATCATACTACCTTTCCCAAGAACTTACATTTGCTTAAGTATTTAAAACCCTTTATCACAAATTCCATCAGCTTGCTTGTCATCACAATGAGACTCACCGATCTGCAGATACCGGAGTCCCTTCTGGACTTGAATATCCTTCCAAATCTGAAATGTTCACTTGTGTTTGCCTTGAGGTTACTATCTGGCTATTCTGAAAAAGTATGCTTTTCAAGTCCTGAGAAATATCATTACTATCTGGAAGAGGAGACTGTACAACTTGGAAGTCCGGTGAAGATTTAGGTCTTACAAAACCTAAAGATTCTTGATTCTGTGCTATAGGTTTACTGGCCAATAATTTGGAGGTTGGTTCCAACGATCTTGAAGATATAGTTTGTAGGTCAGAGTTAAACTCACTATTCATCCTTGTTTTAGAAGCCGGATCCAATGTGTGAAATCTTTTATCTAACGTTCCACTATCCAACTTGGAAGGAGTCTTGGGATAAAGAGTTATACGAAAACAAGAAAGTGCTTTTCTATTTGAGGGTGGAGTACATGCAGATGTAGATGTTACTAATGTACACTGACTTGGGGCTGATTGGGAAATCACATTATCGAACTTGGCTTCAACATTTATCATATTAGAAATGTATGATTTAAATTTATGTTGATTATTCTTTTCTACTACATAATCCTGAACTTGAGGAAGAGGGGAATGGTATTTTCCCATGTGATCTACATCTGGGGCTTTGCTCTGTTCAAAGAGCTGACGTTGTTCAAGAAAAATGGAAGAAGGTCGGTCTGAAGCTATATAATCCTGACCTTGAAGAAAGGGAGAGTGGTTTTCTCTCATCTGATGATCTAAATGTGGGGCTTTGCTTTGCTCAAAGAGTTCTTGTTTTTCAAGACAAATGCGACATGGAAGGTTTGGAGCTACGTAATCCTGATGTTGAGGAGGGGGAGAATGGTGTTTTCTCACATGGTGATCTGCATGTGGGGCTTTGCTTTGTTCAAAAAGCTGTCGTTGTTCAAGAATAATGTGCGAAGAAAGATCTGGAGTTATAGTTACATTCTTCTCTTTTACTCCTAGTGTGGAACTTGGTCTGCTCATGCTAATGAAGGTATGGTTATCAGAAAAATGAACTTCCTTGACATTGCTACACTTTGTACTGGTACTAGGCTCAGAGTCACTGCTTTTAAAATCTGATCTTTCTAAGAATTTTTCTTCTTGCTGAGAATGTTCAACAGATAACTTTTGGCTTTGCCTGCTACTTTCTGCTAAAATAGTCACAGCTTTATCTGGTGAATGACTAACAATTTTAAATGATGAAGGGGAAGAGGTTCTCTGTTCTAGATCTCTGGGAGGATTTTGCTCTTCAGTGAAATGAGAATTAAATACCCCCACAGATGCTCCAGTACACTGGCTACCTTCAGTAACACCAACCTTAAGAACAGAGGAATCTGAAAAGCATTTAGAATGTCGGTGAGATGAAAAAGTGATGGAAGTAGTAAACTTTTTCATGGGTTCAGGGGGCAGCATTTGTGATGAAGAATGACAATCCATTTCTTCAAGTGGCACAGAAGCAGGTTCTACTAATTCTGACAGCCAAGGGTCTATCTTTTCATGGAATGGCATTCGAAGACCCTGGCTAATTCTGAAGTCATCAGCTGCAAAGTTTTGAAATGGGGAATGACTTCGTAACTGCAAGGAATTCCAAACTTTGAAATGGGGGTTACACTGGTCTAGTGATTTGGAAAGGTCGATGTGTCTGGTTCTCCATGATGATGGACTCCGTTGTCCTCTGATCATGTCTGAGGGGTCAGCAGATCTGAAAACACAAGGGTGACTATCCAATTGTGGTTGTTCGGCAGTTAGAGTCCTGAAACATCCTTTTTCATGGCTCTCAATAATAATGTGACTACATACAGCTTCTGGCTTGCATCCTATTCCCCGTGGACTCTGTAAACCCTAGAAGATATAAACAAGTTCTTACTTGAAGTAGTCCAAATAGTTATATAAAAACCAGTTATATAATTCAGGCTAAGATTTAACCACAAAGGACCTGTTCATTTTTTACAATAAAACAGGTAAGAACACAACAACAACAAAAAAAGACAGTTTAAAAAAAAAAAAAAGACAGTTAAGTATAGGATAAAATGGCTCATGATAACTAAGACCATATAGTTAATTTCTTCTAAAACTGTTTCACTAAAGTAACAAAAATAAAGACCACTATTGCCCGTAGTATTCTTACCTTTTTTCTTTTAGTAACAGAGGTCCCTTACCCTAACCTTTGCTGCTCACTTGGCCACAAAGCTGGAGAGCTTTCCAGGTTCCTTTGTACCTAGGTATAAGTATGACTAGGTTTGGGCCAATGAGATATAAGCAAAAGCAGTAAGTGTAACTTCTGCTTCCTGTCCTTAGAAAATCAAATTCTTGACCTCCATGTTCCCCTATTACCACCATCATTACCATCGCCATTACTTTTGCCAGCTGAAAATGGTAATATCGAGAACAATCTCAGAAGCCATGTGTAAAAATGGCTTAGCTGCCAAGCCTGCTTGGGTCTTTGGATAACTTCAAGGAACAGAGGCCTTTTCCTATCCTAGACTATCATATAAAAGAAAAATAAGGGGATCCCTGGGTAGCTCAGAGGTTTAGCGTCTGCCTTCGGCCCAGGGCGTGATCCTGGAGTCCCGGGATCGAGTCCCGTGTCGGGCTCCGTGCATGGAGCCTGCTTCTCCCTCTGCCTGTGTCTCTGCCTCTCTCTCTCTCTAATAAACAAATAAAATCTTAAAAAAAAAAAAAGAAAAAGAAAAAGAAAAAGAAAATTATATCTTATTTGAGCCATTGTATTTTGAGGTCTCTTTGTTATAGAAGCTTGGCCTATCACCTAATGTTTTACCAGTAAGAATAAGGAAAGGAGTATTCCTAAGAATAGGAAAAAGAATGAGTACTTCTTCCTGGAGTGTTGGATCAGAACCTAAAGCTACCATAAATATAAAATCTCTTTGAGATTTCTGTGTTTTACCTATAAAGTTAATACTTGGCATCCTATTTGATAACAGCCACATTTGATTTCAAATAAAAAAAACTAAAATTATGCTGTCACTTTTGACATAATGGAGTAGTAGTTGTACTTCCTCCTATTCATCTTGTAAGTATAATTAAAAGTCCTAGATATTATATATAAAACAAATTTAAGAATCATCTGAAAGATGCAGAGAAGGCAGGCTGGCTATGGATTTTGGGACCTGAAGAATGACACGGTAGTGAAATCCTGGGTTTTCTTTTTATCTCATATATTCCAGATTTAGGAGCTAAAAAAGCCAGTAATACATGAAAAAAAGGCATAGGCAAAGGCTCCAACAAAAATTCACACTCATTAGCTAAAAAAAATAGTAAAAGTGAAGTCTAGCAAGACAGAAAACTTTTAGACCAAAACTACTCTATTACAGCCAAACAACACAGGAAAAAACCCAGCTTTTTTCATATCAGCAAAGGCCAAATGAGGAGCCTAAACCTCTACCCTTGCTAAATGATTACAAGACACCCCAACATCCAAGCCAAGTTATCAGAGATAGCCAACAGGACTCCAGGACCTATTTTTACCCTAGATGGATGGTAATGAGCTATATCCCTTTCTGTGGTATCAGCGGAGACCACACAGGGAGACTGGGCTTTGCCATTCAGCAGCAATGACATGCCCCTCTCTGTCCCAGCTCTAAGCTGGAAGAAAACTTTGCAAATCTCATATCCAATAAAAGATTTGTATCTAACATACATAAAGATGTCACAAACCTTAACAGCTTAAAAAAAAAAAGACAACCCAATTAGAAAAATGAGCAAAAACCCAACATTTCACTGAATAGAACAGAGATGGGACATAGGGGGCATAATAACACGTTCAACACGATTAACATTAAGGAAATGCAAATTAAACTACAATGATTCTTCTGCATCTACTGGGATGATCATATGGTTTTTAATCCTTTTGTATTTTAATGTGATGTATCATGTCAATTTATTTGCAAATACTGAACCACCCTCGCATTCCAGGAATAAATCCCACTTGATCATGTGAATGACTTTTTAAAATGCATTGTTAGATTGAATTTGAATATCTTGTTGAAGATTTCTGCATCTATGTTCATCAGAGATACTGGCTTACTGTATTCTTTTCTGTAATGTCTTTATACGATTTTGGTATCAGGGTGTGATGCTGGCATCACAAAATGAATCTGGAAGTTTCCTTCCTCTTCTATTTTTTTGAATAGTTTGAGAATAGGTATTAACTCTTCCTTAAATGCTTGGTAGCATTTACCTGTGAAGTCATCTGGTCCTGGACTTCTGTTTGTTGGGAGTTTTTATTTTTTTTTAAGTTTAAACTTTTTTTTTTTTTAAAGATTTTATTTATCCATTTATGAGAGACACACAGAGAGGCAGAGACACAGGCAGAGGGAGAAGCAGGCTCCATGCACCGGGAGCCCGACGTGGGATTCGATACCAGGTGTCCAGGATCGCGCCCTGAGCCAAAGGCAGGTGCTAAACCACTGCGCCACCCAGGGATCCCTGTTTGTTGGGAGTTTATGACTGATTCAGTTTCATTGCTACTAATTGGTCTGTTCAAAGTTTCTGGGTATTTTTTCTGATTCAGTTTTGGAAGGTGGTATGTTTCTAAGGAATTTATCCACTTCTATAGGTTGTCCAATTTATTGGCATATAGTCTTTAATAATATTCTTATACTCCTTTATATTTCTGTGGTATCAGTTATTTCTCCTCCGTTTCTGATTTTATTTACTTGAGTCTTCTTTTTTTGATAAGTCTCATTAAAGGTTTATCAATTTTATCAATCTTTTCAAAGAACCAGATCCTGGTTTCATTGATCAGGTCTATTGTTTTTTTAGTTTCTATTTCATTTACTTCTGCTCGAATTGTTATTTCTTTCATTCCACTGGCTCCAGACTTTGTTCTTTTTCCAGATCCTTTAGGAATAAGGTTAGGTTATTTATTTGAGATTTTTCTTACTTTTTGAAGTAGGCCTGTATTGCTATAATCTTCCCTCTGAGAACTGTTTTTGTGTATCCCAAAGATTGTGTTTTCATTTTCATTTGTCTTCCTATATTCTCTGATTTATTCTTTGATTTCTTGGTTGACCCATTCATTGTTTGTAGTATCACATTAACAAGAAAAAGAATAAAACCAATATGATCTCTCAATAAATGCACAAAAAGCATATGATAAAGTACAACATCCATTCATGATAAAAACTCTCAAAAAAGTAGCTCTAGAAACAATATACCTCAAAATAATCAAGACTATATATAAAAATCCCAGAGCTAACATCATACTCAAATGGTGAAAAACTGAGAGTTTTTCCCCTAGGTCAGGAACAAGGTAAGGATATCCACTCTCACCAGTTTAATTCAACATAGCACAGAAGTCCTAGCTACAGAAATCAGACAAGAAAAAGAAATAAAAGGCATCCAATTGATAAGGAAAAAGTAAAACCTGCACTACTTGCAGATGACCTAATAGTATATATCGAAAATCCTAAAGACTCCACCAAAAAACTACCAGAACTGACAAATGAATTCAGTTAAGTAAATGGACACAAGATTAATATATGGAAATCGGTTGCATTTTTATATGCTAATAAATGAGGTAGCAGAAAAAGATATTAAGAAAATAATCCTATTTACAATTGCACCAAAAATAATAAAATTCCTAGGACTAAAATTAACCACAGAGATTTAAGACCTAGCTCTGAAAGCTATTAAAAACACTGAAAGAAATTGAAGATGACATACAATGAAAAGATATTCCATATTCATGGATTGAAGAATTAATATCGTTAGATGATACTAAATAGTGAAAGACTAGATGCTTTTCCCCTAGGACAAGAACAAGACAGTATGTCCATTCTTCTTCCTGTATTCAACATCATACTGGAGGCCCTAGCCAGGGCAATCAGGAAAGAAATTAAAGAAACCCAAATTGGAAAGGAAGAAGTAAAATTGTCTCTCTTTGTAGATGACATGATTTTTATACAGAAAATTCCAAGGAAGCCACACAAAACCACCTAGGACTTAAAAACAAGCTTGGAAAAGTTGCAGGATGCAAGCTCAATATACAAAAACCAACTGTATTTCAACATACAGTGAACAATCCAAAAATGAAACTCAAGAAAATTCTATTTATAATAGCACAAAAAATAAAATACATAGAGTATATTTACCAAAATAAATACAAAACTAGCACACTAGAAAACATTGTTGAAAAAACATTATGGACAATCAAAACAAATGGAAAACTAACTCAATGGATTGAAGACAATACTGTTGAAATGGCAGTATTTCTCATATTTATCTATCGGTTCAAGACAATTCCTATCAAAATCCCAGCTGCCTTTTTTTTTTTTTTTTGGCAAAAATTTGACAAACATATCCTAAAATTCATGTAGAAATTCAAGGGATCCATAGTAGTCAAACCAACACTGAAAAGGATGAACAAAGTTGGAGGATTCACTTTCTGATGTCAAAACATACAACAGCTAGAGTAATTAAAACAGGGTAGTACTGGCACAGGATAAACACGTAGATCAAGGGAACTGATAGTTCATATAAATAACATTTATGGTGATTTGATCTTCAACAAAGGAGACAAAATCTGTAGGAAAAGAATAGTCTTTTCAATAAACAGTGCTAGGATAACTGATTTTTCCATGTGTAAAAAGAATGAATTTGCATTCTATACATAAAAATTATCTCTAGGCAGCACTAGTATATAAAATTGTATAATATATATAGTTGTGTACATATACAATTATATATATAATAAATACATAAAGATTAAATTTTATCATTATATGTAATACGTAAATTACATAAAACACACAAATACACACTAAATTTAAAACTTCTGTTCATCAAAGTATACAATCAACAGAGTAAAATGGCAACCTACA